GGCAGTGCTTGCAGCGATTGGATTCAGTGGTATCAGCACTAGGCTCCACCACTGTGGAAACCACATCCAATCCATGCGTTCGCTTGACTCCAATTGGTTTCAAGCAATTTGGGTCGTGATTTTGATGCCAATAGTGTGTCCCTTGTTTCCTCAACAGGCTTCTAGTGACCAAATGGAGTTTGCTCTCCGTGCAAAGACTAGTCCCATGTTGCTATTAAGACATGTTTTAAGGATTTTACATACTTTGCAATGACCATTTTATGATCTTGCATGAGGGACATCGGAGAAAACATCGGAAACGCCTCCCTTTGGACTCTGGACTCCGCCTCCAACTCCAGGTCTGAACCGCTCGCTGAGGGCGTCCTCCAGGCGACGATGTCTGGGCGCTCCTCCTCAACGCGTTGAGGGCGCCTTTCGGGTTCCTCAACGCCGTTTGGGGACATGTTGTTGTGCTTCATGGACTGCCAGCTTCATGGAACATGGAACGCCCAAACTTGCTAGAGTATGAGTAGGAGTATGTATGAATCGATCGTGAAGGTCCGCGCGCCAACTTGGCCGAACTTGTTCGTGACACCCAAACATTGATCACTTGCGACATGTGCAGCAAATCTTCGTAATTATTACTTTTCATTAGAGTACTCGAAGGAGTTGCTAGCATTTCAACCCGATGGAGTCGCATGGCCACCACATTCAGGAATCCTCGTGAAGCTTCGCAAGGATCCAGAGGCAAATTGCTGAACAGATGAAGCAATATTTAAAGATGCAGATATATTTATTGCTCAAAAAATGTCGGTGCATTTTGAATAGCCAGCGGCCAGATTCTGCCAGAGGCAGAGGGAAAGAAGCCTTGCGATTAAATGGGTGCCCTGGCCCTGGCGTAGCTGAAGCAATTTCAGCTTGACTAGTGACAACATGTTGTTTTGACCGGGGGTTTGCCCAGCACTTCATCCCTAGATCCTAGAGTCCCCACAGTCACCCTCCGTAAGTGCTGTTTGCTTCGTTGATATGTGCGCCGCCCCCCCCAAAGGTCAACCACCGTGCCATGCATATGGGGTCCTTCTCACTTTTGGGGAGCCCATGGTCGAGTGCGTTCGGTTGCGGTGTCACTGCAAGTGTCTTTGCCAATTGCACTTTGGTCGTCAGTATATATATATATATTATATATAAATAATGAATTTGGATATGTTAGACCACATATTCAATGTTATCCATCGGCTCTGTAGGGGAAAGGGGTTCCAAGAATGATACCGATGCGGTCGGTGGAAGACACATTTCCATCACCTTTGTAGATATGGCTGAAGACGCAGCCCAATAGTGGATACGCCAGTTCGGATACGCACGTTTCGACCCACAGTGTGTTCAGTAATGTCACAAAACCGTTGCAAAGCACATGCAGTTCTGTCTGTCGAAACGTTTCTTCAGATTCAAGGCGGCCCCCCCACGGGCAACCCAACATGTTGTCGTTGTGCTTCCCCCCCACGGGCAACCCAACATGTTGTCGTTGTGCTTTGGGAAGGGAAATCTTACTTGTGGACCAGCGACTAGGAGAAGATAGAGGGTGGCACAGTTTTAGATAGCCATTTGACATCCTAACACAAAGTTTTATGTTAGCGCCTTTTTCTAGTTGGTATTAGTATTAGTTGGTTGTTTTCGTATTTTTTTTACACTTAAAGTCTATGTAAGCATGTTTCAATCCTTGGCTTCGCCGAGTCTATTTTTTGTATATACGGAAAATGCCGGAGAAGGTTGTATTTTTTCAAATCTAAGACCTTAGAACCGATTGACTTTATTTCGATGTGGGCTGTCAATATAGGAATCTGCCTATTCTGGATTATCCTTTGCAAAACTTCCGAAGAGATAGTCTGGTAGTTGATTGAACGGTCGACATAAGTTAAGGCCTATGTCATCAAGAGCCTCTTTATGTTGCTCGCGAAAACTTTAATGTATATGTTTTCGAGTTCGCGGAAGTCATGTTTTTTCCGCGAAAGATCCACGCAAGATACTGTACTATCTTACTCGACAGTATGTTAAGACTATTTACTTTGTACTTCCTTCACTCAGGAGGAGCTTTGAACACACACACAAAGTTACTATATATAAGATGTAATATATACAGTATATATTCCTTTGCACATTGCATGGCTCACACTTACCATGCAGAATCCCTACAGGCTGAAACCACTAATGACGCGACATGTTTAAGCAAAAGTTTCGCGAAAACATTGGTGAACGTGAAAGCCTGTTTTGTGGACCACTGCCCACATTTAGCCAGGGACTGATTCCACAATATATAGGGGCGTGCCGTAGCCTATGTCAGTGTTCTCCAAACTAAGCAGAGAAAGGCCTAGCAAGACATGAGCATGACAACAGGATGACAACAGCTTCTAGTAATGTTTCACACGGAAGAGCAATGAAGTGTTTGCAATCCTTTTTGTGCGCTGCTTGACAAGGTAGATGCGCGGAGCCATCCAGCCCAGCCAGAAAGTTTTAGAAAGGAATTCATGTGAAACATGTTCAAAGACTGTCTTTAATTGTTTTGATCAGGGCTGTTGACGTTTTATCCTGGCGGAGCCCTTCTTCTAACCAAGGCCCCCCAAACCACAGTCTACCAAAAGAATACACAGGTGGCTGAGAAGTCACCACTCGTACAGCAGAAACCGCCTCACACAAACACTATGTCATTGCCTGCCAGCCCACCAAAGAACCTGCTATGATGTTGCAGTGTATGGGTTGTCAGGGTCAGGAGGAAGAGGGGGCTACCATTGTCTAACATCAGGATTTCATTTTCCTCAAGTGGTTCCCTGCTGGATCTATCAACAGATTAGTCAGATTGTCAGATATATGTTCAGCGGGCGTTGGACACATCCATTCTGAAGTGGGGCAACAAGTCAACAAGACACAACGAAAGATGAAGTTCGGTATGCTGCATGATGGCAGCCGTGTGTGAACGGCTGCGCGTAAGCGTATACATTATGCCCACCGTCTCCACCCCATGAACACAGTGTTGTGCCTAGGTAGCTAAGCCGGGCCCCGGTTAGCGTCGTAGGCTCGAAGCGTAGTACGCTAGTGTTTTTTTGTTTTCATAGGCGGTTTGATATTTAGATTGAGTCTATGCAAACATGTTTATGGACCCTTGATTCCACTGAAAGTATGTTAAAATTAAACAAAATGCTGGAGAACATGTTTGACATAGAACATGTTTTTCAAAACTAAGGACCAGGAACCTTGGCGCCTATCGATGTTATTTTCGATTTACTGTCAATACCGATCAACTCTTGATTATCCCTTGCGGAGAGAAAATTAAGGAAGGACGTGTCAAACAAATTGAAACAATTAAGATTCATTCTCGTGAAGTCTATGCAAATCATGTCGTGGTTGGAGATTGGGGGTTGCAGATCTTTTACCTATAATTGGTGCATGGCACCAAATCAGCTCCTCCAAGAACCATCCAGCCCAGCCAGAAAGTTGTACAAGGAAATTCACATCAACCGTTTTACATATATGGTATGGTATGGGTCGGATTTTTTTTGTGGTTTCGGTTGGGGTTGTTGACTTTCTATCTCAGTGGAACGCTCCTTCAAACCAAAGCCCTCAAATTTCAGCCCTCCACAAAGTGCAGGTGGTCGCGAAATCATCACCCATGTTTGGTCCCAGTGGGACTCTCGGTAAAACCAAAGACTCCCCAAACCGCAACCCTCTACAAAAATGCAGGTTCTTTAGACATCATCACCCCCACGAGCAGCCCCGTGCAAAACACCATGTCACAGCCAGCCAACCCACCAAAGAACCTGCCCATGATTCTTCGGTGTTTGGGGGTGTTTATGGTCGGGGTCAGGGTGAAGAAGACCTTGGGGTGGATACCACCGTCTAGCATTCAACAACTAATTCTTGTTTTGGGATTTGACATTTCCGTTTCCTCAAGTAACCCACTCCTGTATCTACCAATAACTTATATAATCAGATTATGCATTTTCAGCCACGTTTCAGCGTTGAACCCAATTGTTTTATTCTAAAATGGGCTGGTGACCCCCCTGTTTAATGTTTTCAGAGGTCTGAGGCCTCTCTTGGCTCCCAACCGCTATGTTTTTGCTTAATAGCATTGTTTTGTTTCGACAGGAGGGTTTTCACTTTGTTTCAGTGCAAGATTTGGGTACAAGTTGTTTCGCTGCTTTCCTCAATGTCTCCAGCATTTCTTCCAAGCCACAGGTACGTGGTTCAGGAACCCCTCGGGGCTTTGAGGGTGGAAGTGGTTCAGATTTTGTCTGCAGGGTCCTTGGAGATTGGGTAAGCCCAGCAACTTGCCTGGACTGTTATATAAGTCATTTGTGCTTGCGACCTCATGAGTTTGCTGGTCAACAAGGGAAGGAACTTCAACAGATCTGAAGCATGAACAGCATCAACGTACTACACACATCCGCATCCAAAACACATGGATTTCTATGAACGAGAGGGTCCAAGGCAAGAAATGAATGAAAGCCCGCTGTGAGGCTCTTTCGCGTTTGGCGCCTGAGCGTTTCCTGCCACTGGTGAAGCCACAGGAGCGAATGACAAGATGACCTTGACCACTTGACCACTATCCATCATATTGGCAGACAACGAACATCCCTAGACTTACCTTGTCTCAACAGGTGCGGTGTCATTTCACTAGTCACTTTTTATCACTAACTACGTATATATCCCTATTGGATATGGCAAGCAGTTCTCTAGCTTTCGACTTTTGCGCAACATTCAAAGAGGGATATGCTTTGATGCTAGGACCGTCAACTTCAGTCTTGGGAAACGTGAATTGAATGCAATGTTGTCAAACACCCGACTTCAGCGCTTCTCTTTTGACTTTGAAGCATTTGTTGTCAAAGTGCCGAAAAGGGGACAAGAATTTGGTTCATGTTTGTTTTTTCCTGTCCTGTTGCAGGTATGGAGCGCTCTTGCCAAATGGTTCTTCATTTACAGATGCAATCATATTTTTCAGGCGTGCCCATCTTTCGCAGCCTTTTAAAAGTAGTCGCAGTGCCAATCTTTCGCAATAGTTCCTGTACTTGAGGGAACTGAGATAAAAGCATTTTCTTTGGAACCTTTCTGCTGCAGCCTTTTTTCTCATTTTCGTGCGCCGTACGTTTCGGTGCACCGTTCGCTTCGGATTCGCCCATGCATCCGAACCTTTTCCGCACAGCCGTGCTGAACTCCTCAGAGCGGCTGCCTCTCACCGAGCTCGGCCAGGAAGCAGCAACAGCCTTGAAAGCTGCAGCACAAAGTGTTTGCGTCTTTGAGAGCACCACAGCTGGCCTGGTCCAAGCAGCTCTTCAAGCTGCTCCTGGAGCCTCTGCCTTTACTACTTGTGGTGCTGTTACTTATAGCAAGCAAAAGGCTTGGGCGGTCTTAGGGCCCGAAACGCTTTCGGCGCCAAGACCAGCCAACGGCGAAGCCTACAAGGAGTCCAAGAGGACCTGGACACAAACCATTGCAAAGCTCAAACGCCGAGAGGTAGGTGCCACGTGGTGTCTTTGCGAGAGCGGCGCATGTGGACCTAGCTTCACTTTCCCGGAGATCTCCAAGGGATTCACGGCGATTTTTGTGTCCGGGCCAGTGGAGCGCGGAGTATTTGTGGAGTCCAGCCACAATGATCGAGAAGCCAACATGTGGGGCTTTGCCAAATTGGCTCTCGATTTGCTCGCAGAATGTGTCAATGAGGCCAAAGGACAAGAAACCTGCCAGGAGCCGGAAGACCGCCTACTAGTCGCCAGAGAGGATCGTTATGGTGGAGTGGAGCTCCTTGCCCGCCCAGGGCCAGTTGGAATTTTTGATGCTGAACTGCGGCAAGGTATCAAGGAGTGGAAGGAGGCAGGAAAGAGGGGCCTTTGGCTAAAGATTCCCACTGAGGCAGCAGCTTGTGTGGGTCCGGCCGTGGCACAGGGCTTCCGCTTTCACCATGCCCGAGAGGAATATGCGATGCTCACACAGTGGCTGGAGAGTTCACCAAGCCCTTTGCCCAAGTATGGGTTTACTCAGGTCGGGGTTGGAGGTGTTGTGTTGAACAGCCAAGGTGAAGTGTTAATGGTCCAAGAGAAGGTCTCACCACTGCCTCAATTTCAAGGTAGCTGGAAGTTGCCAGGTGGTTTGGCCGACCCAGGCGAGGATTTTGCAGAGACGGTTCTGCGAGAGGTGCAAGAGGAAACTGGGATCACTGGAGATCTTGTGGGTTTGGTGAGCCTACGACACTCCCACGGCTACCGCTTCGGACAAGACGATCTCTACGTCCTTGTAAAGCTCAAAGCCAAGAATGAGTCCATTCGCATCGACCCAGCAGAGTTGAGCGATGCCAGATGGATGAGCGAAGAAGAAATCAAGACACTGGTGGCTGACTCTACGGATGCCTCCCGCAGCTTGGATGGCAAGGTTTCTGAGAACAACTGGAAAGTTATTCAGAACGCTCTTCATGGGTCATTGATTGAAGGCAGCCCCTTACCCAATTCACGGGGTGGAAAGATGTCGATGCTTTACACTGCCAGATGATGAGAAAAATGTGCTGTGGCTGTAAGCTGCTGCCCTCACAGACAAGTGGGATTTGTTGGGTCTGGGTGTCGTTGGTCAAGGTTGCTGGTCCTGTACTGTACATGGTTGATATTGTCCGTTTGAAGATCTGTAGTCTCACATAGCTGCACACATACAATTTGCTAGGATTGATGATTGATAGTTGCTGGCCCAATGGCATTTGCTTCCTCGGTCCGCAAGCGTCTAGGCGGCTTGCGGCAAGCTTTGGGTCGAAGTCATCCACTTCGGGAGTGCCTTGGACGCAGTGTTGATCCGGCGGTGTCGCTTGGGCGGATCGGTTGTCGGGACCCAGCCCGACCAACAAATACCGACCGAACATGGTGTCAACGGTGTGGGCCCCGTTCTTGCACATTTGCATTGCCTTTGATGAACATGGGCATTTCGGGGTTTCGGGGTTGCATATATAAATACTGATCTTATGATATTTTAAAATATATGTCTTTTTTCCTTCCGACTGGTCAAGCCTATTGAGGGGGTCCACACATTTTCGGCGTTTTGGCCACAACGGCATACCAGCTTTTGAGCACGGCAAAGATGAACAATGCACTTCATGAAACAAAGATGACGTTCAAACCAGGATCACGCGTTCCTTTGCAAAAAATCACATGTTCATGAAACAAAGATGAACATGAAGTGCATGAAACGAAGACGAACACGACATTCATGAAACGAAGATCTGTTGACGTTGATGATCCAACCAAACATCATTGCCCTCTGCCCAACTCAACATCAATCAACATCAACAGAATGTCCAAACGCAGGGGCCCATAACACATCATAACACTGTCGACACATAAAGGCAGCTGAGATTTGTCTTTGTCTTTCTCTGCTGAATAAATCTCACCGGATGGATGTTCGGACGTAGTTCGGAAGTCGAGATGATGTTTATCGCTTTGACTGTGCGGAGGCATGCACACTGTATGCATTATGCAACGAGACATGCATTCCACCAAAGCATGGCAGAGGCAAAAAGATAGGACCGGAAGAATGCTTGCTGGCTGTGCACTTGCACGATGCCTTTGGTCGATCTCTCAATCACCAAAGTCTTAGCTTTTCAGGCCCGCAGTTGCAGTACAACATCTTCATGCACCTGAGACTTTTCTCAGGCGCCTTGAACCTCTTCAGTGCTTCAAGTAGTTCATTCCGCTCACCATGGAGTTCACTCGCCTTTTTTCGTGTCTTCCAACGGCCGAAGTGCAGCTGATGATGCCAGGTCTTTGCGACGCTGTCCTCACAGAGGGCACAAATCCTAGGGTGCGCCACCCAAGTTCAGGGTTCCAGGGGGAAGGGGTTCCGGGCACTCAGTGGAGCTACTAGTAGCTTCTTGTTCCTAGTAGCGATGCCAAGAGCCTCTAGTAGCGTCATTGCTCCTAGCAGAAAGGCCAGGAGCCCCTAGTAGCGTCCTTGCTCCTCAGTGGGTGATGATACAGAGCTGGCCTCATTGTACGATTCTCCTGTAGATTTTCCATTACATTCCATTACCAAACCTCTTGTATTCAGTGAGCATGATAAGCTTTCATGTCTCTGGAGTGTGACTCAAAGCCATTCAAGACTGAAAAGCCAGTAGACTCAGTAAACCCTTGGTTGGATGGGGCTCATCTAGGAAGCTGAAACAAAGCAATTGACCTTTGGCAGGATCGATGGCATGATTTGGCTCGAAAGGCCAATTGCCGGAACGCCCAGTGAGTGAACGTCGACAGTTTCAGCTTCACGGACCAAAACGGTCCCAACATGTTACAAGTGCGTAGAACTCTTGGGTTGATTTCCTTTGATTTCTTTTTGATTCTTTTGTTTCCTGTTTCTTTAATTTTGTTCAGCTGCGCTAGTTCTTTGTGCCCAACGCCAGAACTGCTTTGCCACAAAGCAGTTGAAGTGAAGCAATGATGCCTCATTTACAAAGACTGCAAGCTTGCACATATACATTCTAAAGCCAAAGCAAGAAGCCCTTACCCTTCAATTATCAGGCCCCCCAACATCGCCCAAACAGAATGCATGAGTGACATTGAGTGACACTACTTTTGATTGTGTACGTCACTTTCAGCTTTTTTACATGGTCCTATCCGGTTGAAAGAACCTTGAACTTGAACTTAGTCTAGTGCTGCCACATAATTTGCGAGGTCGATATAGAGTTAGTTAGGGATGTTGGGCAAAGCTGCTCAGCAGCAACAAATCAATGTGTTTGTTTACTGGAAGGCGAGTAGCTTTACTTGCCCCCATGTCAGCTTGAAACAATGCTACTCGAATCACTTGCAAAAAAGAGGATGTGATCATGTCGCTATGTTTAGAATTGGATGTATATGTATGTAATATATATATATATAATATATATATACCTGGACCAAGCAGCATATTCTGTTTGGACAATTGGTCTCTTTTCGAAGCCCAAGCAGCCCAGCAGGGTTTATGTGATCCACATACATCCACGTGGGTTTGCCTTTGAGGTGTCTCTGATCGCGTTGAGAAGCGGGAGGCGGGGGAAAGTGTCGTGGATTGTCCATGTTGATCTGGCTGATGCTTGGTAGCCGAGACAAGGACAATTCAGTTTGAACATATGAACACCCACCCACACACACACACACACGCACATAAATCTATATATATATATAGTATAGCGCGAGTGCCTATTGCCTATTATTGCATTTTGTTGCCTATTGCTAATTGTCCTCAGGGGGAACGGCAGAAAGAGACCCAACGAAGCCTTCTAGAAATAGACTGGAGAGCTAACTGGAGACACTACACTGTAGACGTCGACGTATATGTAATTTTTGTTCTTCGGATTGTAGTTTTCCTTGAACACAACGGTTGACGGGTCTACGTTTTGTCAGTCCCGAAGTGCATGAGGTTACAACATGTAGATCTCGACACCCTGGTGGGTTGGGCACAATTGCAGGGCTCCCAGCGCTCCAAGACGAGCAAAAGAAAGTCATTACGCCTGCACGCACTATGGCACAAGGAGCGTTGCTTGCTGTCTTCCTACCTCGTGAGGGTGAATCCCTGACGCTTAGTATCACTCCCAACCAATCAGACAGTTGAACGTTGAACAGAATTTAAGTCTCACCACTACGGCCGTTGACACTGCCAGAAGGGCAGTCTCCACCATCACAAGTATTTGGATATTCCATAATATTCCATCTTGTCCACGCTTTACCTTTTGCTTCAGCCGAGCTCAGGTTCAAGTGCTCCGAGCTTTGGCCGATGCTGTGGAGGTCAATTCTGCCGGTCGTGCACTGGGCTTGTTGAACACTGAAGATACTGAAGGGAAAGGAATCAGGAAGTGGAAGATGCAGACACCGATTCAACATAGCTTGGAGGGATGTTCACTCCTTCCGAATCCTTCCTATTTGTAAACATGTAAAAGAGGTGCTTGAAGTAAGCAAGCTGCTTGCTATTTGTTGATCGTAATATGTTTTTCAAAAGGTGTACTGCAATACGTATAGTGTGCAAAACCTTCTCTGCATGAACACATACTCATGACCAACCTCTTTGGCTGAAGTCTCCATCAAAGTCGCTTCATGTTGCACTGGCAGAAAACGTAGGATTCAATGCAAAGCCTTTGATGTCAATGATGTTGTCTTATTAAAACACCTTTGGCCTTGATGAAAAAGGGGACGATTGAAAGCAGTGCCTACCGGTTTACACATGTTTACAAGAGTCTTGAAGACGAGGTCCCAAAGTTCGGGTTTTGCCGAAAGGCCACGCCTGCAGAGCGCCGTCCCCTGGCGGAGAAGGTGCCAGACACGCAGGTGGGGCACTTCCAACTTTTGCACCAGATATCGTTCACCACCAAGTGCCAGCAGTGCCAGCCAGTCGAGTCGTGCCAATAGCACCAGTTCTGCCTTGCACCTCATTTTACATGCCATACACAATATGGAGGCCATCGCTTCTAGGGTGGAGGCCATCGCTATTACTGTAGGTTGGAGGCCATCGCTATTAGGTTCCTTTTGCTATTAGGTTAGAGGCGTTCTTAGTCCCCGCTCCGTGGATCGGATGTGCACAGATGTCCACTTCAGCAGCTCATCATTTCTCCAGGTGTCGGCAAAGATAGATACAAAACCAGAGGACTGATGGTTGGCCCGTTTTGCCATGTTAACATATTGTTTGCAGGCAGAGCCACCCTCCTTTGCCATGAATCAATATGTTGTTGAATTCGCCTGCCATGGAAAGCGCAAGAGTCTCACCATGATATATTTTGCACCTCACCTTGTGCGGTATGTAAGGAGTCGAAGAAGACCTTCTTGAAGAAGATGGTTTCTGCAAGTACTTTGTGGCCTCAGGCAGGCATGGCCAACAACAAATCTTCTCTGAACAATTGTTCGGCAGAAATGACGCTGGAACATCTTAAACTACTCATACCAAGTTCTAACGCTTCAAGTTTTACAGTAAGGCTTTTCACAAAAGGTAATCTGCAAAGGGTGCTTGCAAATCTCTTGAAGGTCCTGAAAGCTTTGCCTCCTCGGTCGCCTGCAGCACCTTCACGGATCGTCGCAGTGCCAGCATTGGAGCCCAGCAGTACAGGTAGCAGGCAGCGACTTGAGAGATCTTTGCAGGCAGCAGTAGCCATGCTATTAAAGGTTATCAATGCTACAAGTTGTATAACATTCCGGATCATTGCGTGCTTTCGTCCAATGAAAGGAATGTTCGGACCTTGTTCTATAGGGAGCATTGATGGGATAGGGGGCTTCTCCTACACTGGTCACTGGTCATTCACATAGGCATGCCAGATCCGAAGATGCACCATTGGCCATTGGCTTGCCGTTGCGATGGCAATGCCTCAACCTCCATGACAGTGGCTCATGATTCATTGAGGCCGCTCGAACAAACTCCGCCCCATTCGATATTTGAGGCTCGGGGACAGCCAGAGTCAAGGAACAGCTACAAGGCAACCCAACAACTTACTCGTAGCACAGGTTGATGAATTATTCTTACTTATAACCCCTACCTGTTGTTCCTCTCCCGTAGCAGCGTCC